TTTGCTCCAGAGGCCGAGGCTCTCAGAACTCCAGAGTTGGTGGATCTGTGAGCCAAGCCTGCATGGAGCAGTCGGGCCAGCAGGGGGCACTCAGCCCCCACTGTGTTCTATGCTGCCTGCCTGGCCTGAGTCTCCAGCTCCTTGGGACACTGGGTTGGAGCCTGTGTTAGCAACCACTCTGTGAAAGGATCCTCCTGCCTTTCCTTGAAGGCCATTCTCAGGAAAGCCCCAGAACCAGACTTTTGTGCTGATAGCTGTGGGTAGCACCTCCCTGTCCCAGATGACTTCTCATTATGGGGTTCTGGAGCCCCCCAGGCACCATCTGTATCTAGAACCTTCACAGGCGGGGGGATTCTGGGTGGTGTTGCTGGTTAGCCAAGTGTGCATGCTCCAGATACACCCCATGCCAGGGATTGCCAAGCCTCCCTGAGCTGGAGTAGACTGCCCACAACCCCACCACACACTAGCACAGTGGGCGTGCCGTGGGTGCAGCCTGGGCATGTGAGTCTGAGTGGTTCACACTTCACCCTCGATGCCCCCACAGAGTCCGGGGAGATGGGCCCAGCCTATGGGGAAAGCACAGGGGATTCTAGCACTGAGAGCAGATGCGAGCTGTTGGTGCCACGTGTGACTAGAGCAGCTGAGTCTTCTCTGAGCACCCACATGTGATGCAGACCATGGCCATAGCATTGAACCCGCTGCATGGTGGCTGCTTGCCCCACGTGAGACTGAGAGCCCTTTTACGTTGTCCCAGCACAGAGCAGGCACAGCAAGAGATTGATAAGTAAATGTACAAACCCTCGGCTGCCTAGGAGTTGTGGGGAGAGGCCAAGGAAGGGGCAGTGATCAGTCTCCAGCCCTCAGGAAGCTAAGTGCTGCCTTCGGACCTTGCAGATGGCACTCGGGGCCATGTTGTAATGGCAATGGGAGCCCTGGCCTGCTTCACCCAGGTCCCAGCATGCAGAGCGGTCCTGACTGACACAGAGAAGAGAACCAGCTTTGCCAACGTCTGTCTCCACGGCTTGTGTGGACTGGCCTGCTAAAGGCTGTTCTGGTTCACAGGAGAACGGTTGAGGTCTGTGCTGACAAAATGTGACTCACGGTATTACAGGAAGATGGCCCCACAGCCTGCCAGAGGGTGAGATCACCCAGCTGTTCGCTGAAAGCTCAGCATGGAGGCGCAGTGGTGGTTACCTGCAGGCTAGGCAGGGGTCCATCTATCAAACATCTTTACCCTGACTTGTGGCAGTGTCCAGAATGGAACTGTTATCACATCTTTCCTTTGGGCCATTAAGCTATTCATCACTAAACCTGCTGTTCACTAGGAGGCTAAAGGCCTGGAGTCTGAAGCAGGGAGATAGCAGAGGGGCAGCAGGCGGGCTTGCCCGGCACATTTCCCATGGCCACCAAGCCTCCAGGGACTTCTGGTCAGGGTGAGAGAGGAGAACTCTCTCCCACCCTTCACTCAGGAAACCACATGCTCCTCTCATTCCAGGTCTCCAAAAAGTACAGCGAGATTGAGGAGTTTTACCAGAAACTGAGCAGTCGCTATGCAGCAGCCAACCTCCCCCCGCTCCCCAGGAAGGTCCTGTTTGTTGGGGAGTGTGACATCCGGGAAAGGAGAGCCGTGTTCAATGAGATTCTGCGCTGTGTCTCCAAGGATGCCGAGTTGGCAGGCAGCCCAGAGCTGCTAGAGTTCTTAGGTACCCGAGGCTCTGCCCCCTCGTCCCTGAGGTCTCCCCATCCCAGAGCTAGGCCTTGTTGCCCTGGCCCAGCAGCAGCAGGTCCACAACTGCCTCTGTAACCTGAAAGGCTCAGCCTGGCTGTTGAGGCAGGTGGGCCTTACCGACATCGTTGGGCCAGATGGTGGTAGGAGACCCATCATCAAGAAACTGACCATCTGAATGTCACACAGTGGACATTCTCCACAGTGTGATGCCACCCATGGCCTTCCTGGCCAGCCCATCTCTAGTGCTTCCCCCACCCACACACGGGCGCGCATGTGTATACACAGACACGCACACACACGCACACACACGCACCCCTCCACGTCCTGTCAGATAGCCCTAGGGCCTGCGATATCCAGGGAAAGCTGTGCTCTCACAACCAGGCTGGTGACCTACCCCTGGGGACATTTCCCTCTCAGCCTGTGTTCCCCACAGAGAGGATCATGGGTGAGGCACAGCTGAATTGATCCACCATCCCCACCCCCACTGCTGGGGACCTCAGGCCCTTCTCCTGTTGCCCCAGCCCTCTTGTCTCTCTTCATTTTTCTCATTGAAAGATGGGAATAACCTGACTGACGTGTGTGTGAGAATCAGCTTAGCTAATATATGTGACGAGTTTAGAACAGAGCCTACCACACAGGAAACATGTCTAAAACTACACCTCCACCCCTCAGCATGCCTTGGCAACTCAGAAGCCCCGTGGGGCAGGTCCAGGTGAGGAGAGGTCCCTAGCAGTGCTGCACTCTCACCTGACCTCCCTCTTGTTAGATCCGTTTGTTTAACTCCTCCCCTGCCTTCGTGGATCTCCTAGTACCATAAGATAGAAAGGACAGTTTCGAAAGGAAGTCGACAGCAAATAAACCAGTCCAAAAGAAGTGAGGGGTGGAGAAGAAAAGCACAACAGGTGAAGCACAGAAGACTTGGGACTGGACAGGGTACAGAGCCCAGGTTTCTTATATCCATTCTACGCCTTCACCCAGGTCTGGGGTCTCTCCTGCCATTGTTTGCTCTGAGGTCCCACCCTTCCATCTTTGCCCATCTCTGGGACCAGGTAGACCATGATGAAGGCTCTGGCCTAGCCATAGCTGAGAGAAATGCTCAGAAGGTCCTGGCTTTCTCTGTTGTGGAGAGGCAGGATAGAGTGTTTCAACTTCCGTAACCACTCCATGCCTCAGTTTTCTCATCTGTAAAATGAAGGTACAGTTATGACCTCTCTCATGGGGCTTTTGTGATATTTAAATGTAGGATGTTTATAACAAAATTGAAGGTTCATGAGATTTTTGAATAGTGTTTTCACACTTGTTCAAATAAAATAACTGCACAATAGAATACAGTGCACTTATTGTCACTCTGGACACCCTGTATACCAGATAACTCTCTCAAGTTTTTTACCTACAAAGTGATTTTTTAAAAAAAAGTCAATACTTTGAAAGATAAACTACCCAGTAACCATTTGGATAGAGATGGGCAAATAGTCGAAACCCACGCTTCTCAAACTCTCCATGGGGAAGGACCAGCTTTTTAATTCTCAACCTGTCACAGGAAGATATTCTCAAAAATGCAGAATTGTACATTTGAATGTTATGATGCCAAGCTGCTGTGGAAGTTTCTGGATGCTTGCTCTCCCTTTTTCTACTTACCATGTTGTAGACACCTATCTACAGACCACACTTTGAGAAGCACTGATCTGAGCTGGTTTGTAACAGAGTAATCACAGCTTGTCCTGGAAACTTGCACGTGCACCCTATCAAGTCCATGGTCCAGTCACCCAGACTCTCGGTCTCCACCTGTGGTTGGATTGGGAGAGTGCCTTGCTGTGCCTCACGACTGTGAACGGTTCTGGAAGTGATGGTTCTTTTTTAATCATCTTGCTGGTTTATCCCACTGCCTACCCAGGAGGAAAGTCTGGCCACTCCCGCAGTGCACAAGGGCTCAGGAACTGCTGCCTCTCTCTTGTTTGGAAGCTCCTACCCCCCGACTGCTCCACTCCTGGCTTCCCTGGTGCCCATCAGCCCTGGGGGGCTGCAGCAGGCACTTGGGTGCCTCCCAGAATGGTGGTCGCCTCCTATCCACCTAGACTTGTGGTAGAGTTTGGTTACAGGAAGCCCTTGGCCTCAGGGAGGGTGTGGTGTGGCCACGTGCCGCTTCTGCCTCTGGGGTGGGTAACCAGTCCCTTCTTTTCTGTCTTCTTCCACAGGCACCAGATCCCCAGGGTCTGCAGGTCTCACCAGCAGAGATTTCTCTGTCCTGGATGACACAGATAGCCGAGCAGGGGAGGAGGACGAAGCTTTTGACTTCTTTAATCAGCAAGACCAAATGGCGGGTGAGGGTCCGCCCATCCTGGGCCTGAAGGACAAGGATGTAGAGAAGTCCTTGGATGAGGAGGAGGAGAAAGAGGAGGAAGAGGAGGCATTGGATCCCCTGGGCATCATGCGGTAGGTCTCCCTTTGTCAAAAGGGACCACTTCTGACTGACTCCTGGCTTTCTGGACGTGGCTTCTTGTTCCCTGTAATCCAAGAAAACCCCTATGCATGCTAGGTCACCTCTTATAGAGGTCTGGGCCATGGGGCCTTGGCCTGGCATGCTCGAGGGACTGGCTGTGTACCCTTGGTGTCACCCATGTCTTTGGGGCTGGACTCAGATATCACGTGTCCTTCCCTGGTCCCAGGGTATCCCCCGCCCCTGCCTCTGCACTGGCAGAGACCCCATGACAGCTCGGCCCCGACTACTGACCCACCCAGCTGGCACTGGGAGGCCTGGGTTCTCCCTCCAGCCATGTGACGTGAGGTTATGACTCAGTTCTCTGGGCCTGCCTCACTCTCCATAAAGCAAGAACATTCACCCTGGCCCTGCCTCTACAGGGCAGATGTAGGACTCACAGATCACATGGGTGAAGGGGACTTGAGACCCTTCAGTGCTGACTGCATGTGGTGCGAGAAGGTAGAGTGACCCCTGAGGTCCCTGGTCAGTGGACCATGTGCCCCTCATGTACACACACATGCCCACACACATGCACCCACACACATGCACCCACACACACCCTGACTGGGGCAGAAGAGGCAGGCCAGCTGTGGTTGTGCCCGTCCCTCCTGGATAGTGTCCTACCTCTCTTGTCCTCCCGCCCCTTCTTTCCTGTCCCTCTGACTGTCTTCAGTCAATAAGTGAGCTGCTCCTGAGCTCCCGCTGTGTGGACCACCTTGCACTGTGTGCTAGGGAGAGGAGCACAGGCTAGATGAAGAGACTTGGGAGCCAGATGCCTGCTCAAGGCCCCTCTGAAGGATGCAGGCTGGGATTGTGGGGCAGAACATCCGGACCAGAAGGAGACAGTACTGGAGGGAACCAAGCTGACCCAGCCATCCCTGAGGCCCTCACTCTTTCTTCTTGGAACAAAGTGAAGTGGCTACTTTGGAGCCATGCTACATGCTGAGCTTTGTCTTTGGTGCTTTACATACCACATCTCATTGATCCCCTGCCTTGTGAGCATTTTACAGATTAAGAAACTGAAGACTACAAAAACCAAGTGCTCTGCCTGAGTCCAAACAGCTGGTGAATAAGCTGTTGGATTTTGAACCAAGTTTAAGATCCTGGTCTCTGGAGCTGTACTGCCTAGGCTTGAGTGCAGCTCTGCCATTTACCAGTTGTGTGTCTCTGCCCATTTTATTTACCTCTTTTCTTCAATTTTTCTCAGCAAAAATGGGCTCATGACAGTACTGACCTCTTAGGGTGTTTGTGAAGATTGGGTTAATGTTCAACGTAAATGTGAGCAATTAGCTATCATCATGACCCATCTTTCAACGGAGTCAGACCACAGACTCGGGTGCCGTTCTCTGCACTTTCTACCATGATGAGGGGGTCTTAGTGGTTGATTGAAATCCTCAGGCAGCTAGTAAGAGAGCTTTGTTTCATAGGTCCTTTTCCAGAAAGGAATTAGAGCTCATTAAAAATCAGGCAGAGGCAAGTTCAACTTCAGCAATATGCAGAATGCAGTCCTACAAGTGTGGCCTGCTCTGCACAGGCCTTCTTCTTGAGGTGGGATGTTTAGGGGGTGGGCTGCAGGGTGGCCGTGAAGCCAGTGTTGAAGGATGAGGGTCGCATTGGGAAAAGGTGCCTGATGCTCAGGTTGCCACAGCAGAAATAGGTCTGGGAGCCAGGTTCCTGCAGCACCTTGGCACAACGGGCGCCATGGTCAGACCCCTCCCGGCCCTCCCTGACTGGCCTCATCCTGGAGGGGCTCAATGGCCCTGAGGAAGAGGCAGCAAAGGTGGCAGGTGATGTCAGGGCAAGCCTATCACAGCCACTCCTTATCAGCCCTGCCCAATTCCCGAGCCCTTCTTGGGCTTTATTTGGGGATGAGTAGGCTTTGTTTGAACTTGCACTCCCTGTTGTTTTGAGTAACTACACGCAGTGCCAAACCAAGTGTACTTGGGCGGTTTGTGCCAGCCTTTGACTGAAGGGCATGCTTAGCAAAGCGGCTCCTTTTTTGGGTAGGAAAATCCTCTTTGGAGTTGGCCAGTACTGCCTTGAATTTCCTACTTACTTCATTAGCAGATTGTCAGGAGGGGTGTGTCAGCCAGGCTGAAACCACCTGCCCCCAGTCACCTCCCCTAGCTCTGTACTCTGGGGGTCCTCACTCCTGAGTCCTAGGAAAGTTTAGCACCTAAGAGGAGAGTCCCTTCTCCTGCCAGATTTTCTTTTAAAGATCTACGTGACACAAGTCGGTGTTATCACCTCCGGCAGGAATAATAAGTAACATTTTTGAGAGCTTATTAAATGCAAGGAACTAACTTTTGCTTCAGCTTTATATCACCCACACACACATACACACACACACACACACACACACACACACACACACACATACACACACAGATATATGTATATGTGTGTCATGTAAAGCTGAAGCAGAAGTTCTAATAACTCATACAAAATCTTAGTGAATATATTGTACTCTTAAGTTTGCTATATTATTTTGTTGAAAAGGTCATAATTCAACCAGACTACTCTCAGGACCCGTTACAGGTACAGGTTAAGAAATGGCACTCCAGGGGGCCTGTATTGGAATCAACCTCGATTGTGTATTAGGAAGCTGAAGTTTAGAACCAGGTGGCTCACCATATTTTTACAGCCTGCAGACAGCAGAGCCAGGACTCTGTGCCATCTCCAGGCCAGTCTTTTAGCAATCTGGGAAGCGGGCACAGCCCTAGCATTGGCCTCCTTCCACAGATGGGAAAATCAAGGGCAGAGTTGAGCAGAAACTTGGCCAGAGCCCAGTGTGTGGCAGTGCCATGTCTTGAAGTTGGGGTTACCTCAGCGTTTCACAGACACCCGGGTGGGCCTGTTGGTGACCTTGCACAGCACTACCCACCGCCACTTGGTGGGGGACATTTTGTTTTTGGCAGGCAGGCCCAGGGCATCTCCCTTCATCCTGTACCCTCGGTTCCTCTGCAGTCGCAGCAGCCTGTGAAACAGCCTGTTTCCCAGCTGTGCCAGGCGTCCCAAGGCCAAGGTCCCTCTAGACCTGGCTCTGGGCTTCCCTGCAGCCAGCCTTGGTCCTTCCCTGCTGCAGCCACGGCAGGGCGCTGTTGCTCCACTGCAGGGCTGCCTGGAAGGGTGGGAGTCGCCGGCACAAAGCTGGAGCCCAGGCTGGCCTGGCTTTTCTTTGTCTTTTTAAACCTGGTTTTGATTAGGGCACAAGACGACATTATTACATCATTAGAGAGCACCTAAAGATGGAAAGAACCTTCCCCAGCCTTCCCAGCACCGCCACACCTCTCGTTTGCTGAGGTTTTCATCTGACCCCATCCCAGCACCAACCACATTAACTGCAGATGCCATGCATGGCCCCGTCCCACTCTGCCTTTCCACATCGTGTCCTGTCAGGAGTGCTGCTCCGTGTCATACCTCATTGTATTCAGTTCTCTATTTTAAAGACCTCACTGTGTTGAGAAAATGGAAGTTCTACCCGAATAGTTCTGCCTCCTGTTAGAAATACTCTGCTAGAAACATTTTTCATTGTGACTCACGTAATGCAGTTAACATAGAAAAATTGACAACACAAGTAAAAGTCCCCTCCCTGTGAATTTTTGAATTCACTTTTGAATATTCATATCTTATTACCAAAATGGGATTCTGTTATATGTTCCATTCCACAGTTTGCTTTTTTTTTCAGTTTATACATACTGGGTCTTTCCAGATCGATGAACATACTTCTCCCTTCGGACTATGTCTGGTCCCTCAGGCCCTCACGGTGTTGCCAGGCTCCTGCTTGTGGACATTGTGATGTTTCACAGGGTTGTGCTGTTACAGGCAATAACTTGAGGAACTTTTACATATACAGCTTTTATTCTAATAAGCTTTCTCCCCAGATTCCCACCCCCCAGCAAGATCCTGAAGCTTCTTCTTTAGGCTTTGGTGTACTAGTCCAGTAAGGGTTTTTTTAAGGGCTAAAGCCCCTCTGTTGGGGGTGAGGGTCTCTGCTTTTCCAAATCCTGCCCACCCGAAGGGCCTGTCCCTCTCACACCTCCCCAGGGCCACTTCCACCAAGCTCAGGGAGCACCCCTCCAGGCCCAAGGTCCCCAAGAACTCTCAGCTTCCCTCCGGACAGGCTGGTTTCTGTGTGAGCACACCGGAATCTGAGGCCAGGCTTCCCACGTTCTCCCTCAGAGGGGGGGCCAGGCCCAGGACCACAAGTCATAGGCACAAATGGGAAAACGGATGCTTCTTTGGAATGCTGTGTTTTATGGTAATTTTTTGGATAGATTTTGTTTTATCGTTCAACAAATAACCTTGTGTGTGTTAGTATAGAAATAATATTTTGTTTCCTCTATTTATGTGAAATTGCTGCTCTGAGATGATTCTGTGGTGTTCATGTGCTGGCACACTGTCACGTGATCCCAGATTTGCAAACCAAGTTTTAGAAGCAAGGCGATCCCCCAGAGTGAACCATGGAGGGGAGCTCAGTGGGGACAGCATGGCCTCAGCCCCACCTCCTGAGTACCCTGAGCTGCTTCCCCTTGAGTTCCTCTTGCTAATTATCAGTGCCATCGCTCGTGGACTTGGCACATCTTTATTCATTCTAGCCCGAGCCTGGGCACCCAGGGCTTCCCTTGACGCTGCCAGAACAGCAGAGACCTCCTGGGGGATTCCCACCAGGAGCTTGGGGGAGGTGCAGATTCTTAGGCCCTGCCTCAGCCCTGGGTGGGGGCCCTGGGATCTGTGTTTTAACAAGCTCTTGCGTTGATTTCTATGTAAGCTCCTGTTTGAGAATCCCCAGAAACCAAACGCCATTAAGGCCTTGGAGATGCCAGGAGGGAAACAAGTGCAGAGAGTAGCGCGTCAGAAGGTTGCCACAGTCTGCCGCCCACAGAGGGGCCAAGGAGAGCGCATGCACAGGAAGGCCCTTCCCTTACTCTCTGCTCCCTACCTCCTCCTGCTC